TGAGGATAAGCGAAGCGAGTCCCTTCTCTACCGTTTTCCGTATCGGCAACCATTACCAGCATCGAGGCTGAGGCTCAAAAGAAGGAGGAATTGGGGTGAATTAAGACACGCATTCATTAGCCTTAACCACCATTCTGAGTTGACGTGCTACTTGCACTTGCGACTGATGCAAACAGTGAGCCGTGCATTTGTGCTCGTGGCAGAACATGACTTGTCGGTAACTGTTGACAATTTCCTGTAGTCCTTTTACTAAGTCAAGACGCCTTTTTTCAATCAATGTGAAAAAGGTGACCAACCTCAGTCAGAAGTGCTCCCTAACTTGGCCTTGGATTGTATCATTACCCTAAATACCGACGTGATTTCCATATCTACTAGTTTTATCTCTTTCGCTCACTGCCTACTTGAACGATCACGAGAGTTTCCTGTCAAGATGCTTATAGTATTCATCGATTTCTCAGTTTAAACGAGAAAGCTTATTTTCTTCACGACAATTTGGACTGCAATATGATTCAGCCCTGTTTTCCTAGTGACAACGGGAGCGTCGCATTCATGGATTGCACCAGAACTAAATACGCACTCCACCAAGTTGTAGCAGTGAGCATATGTCTGCTTTTTTACTGTTCCAGCATCTTACCACTAGTAAGAAGATGAGTTTATTCAAAATTCAAGAAATTTTTTTTGCACTACCGGCAGAGGATATGGATTATTTTGTTCACCATTACTTGCATGTTCTTAGCGGTCTCCAAGACATTTAGGCCACGTGATTTTTTGATATCACAACCAATCCCTCCCGTAGTAACCCATTTTAAAGACATGCCAAGGTTTCCCTTCTAGAGTTCTCTGCTTGGAGAGCGTGCAAAAGAAAATTCACGTTTAGGCAGATTGCATTCAGTTTAGAATGTAGAAAGAAGCCAGTTTTATACTACCTTTAATATCATAAAGCAGTCTATATGACGCGAACCATTTGCGACCTTTGACCATCATTTCTGAGTTAATGTACAGCCAATGTAACATTTTTGAAAATTCTTTTTACTTATATGGCCCTCACGAAGAAAGCCAAAATTAAGAGCATTCTTTGGTGCGTCAACTGACTAGATCGCAAGACAACGGATGCGAAATGATTATTTGAAGAACTTTTAAACAAACGACTTTGAGAAAATAAGTGACTGCACTGTTTCTATGGCTAATTTTCGTTTCCAAATTGGCACGTTAACTATGAACAGGGCATTTGGAATTACGGATAACATGAGCAGCTATGGCATCTACGCAGATAATACCCCATTTCTGCCCCAATTTTAACTTATCATGTTATACTTAGATGAGAGAAGAGTCTTAAGCCAATCTGACACCTTATTTATCTGTGTAAATTGGAAAGGTGACCAGAAGTCGCAAAAGTCGATAGAAGAGCCTGGAGTGCACAACTTCAACTCTTTTGGACACTTGGATTAGCCCGTGGAGAGACAACTTATGTAGTCTTGCTGGATACGCACGAGTGCTTGCATTCATCACTAATAACCTAATTATGCTATCTAACCATGTGATTTCACCCTCGCTCAAAGGTTTACAACTGTGGATTTGGTCGGTCTTGGATTTTATCGTGGTGTCTAGCCAGGTAGGTCGATATCCATCTTCTAACTGTCTCAGCCTCTTGCTGAATTGCCTCTTCTAATGGGTCTAATTGTGGCATTGCAAAAATGTTACCTTTTAAAAACTAAACTAGAGCTTTAGGACCCTCTGTAATGGAGGAAGAGATAGTGCTTTGTGTGTTTCGTTGATTTGGTGAGCACCCGTAGCAATAAAAATGGGTGAACTCAAACTTGGACTTGGTAATCAACCAGAGGATAATCCCTAGTCAACAAATGGCTGCGGGTAATACATATTTGCACTTGGTTTATCCAGTACGTTTTAACCCAAATTTGCGTTTTCATAGCTAGCGCTGGAGGTTTCGCAGAAATCTGTTTTTTGTCATAAGTCTGGATGCAAAATAATACCTCGAAATGAATGCTATTCAGTTTGATGTGTCACAGTACGAGGCAAACGTTACTGATGAAAGTAAGGGTAGCTATTTCAATATTGACAAATTTTTGACTATTTCGATTAAATATTTACACAGCTAGCATTTATAAAGGAAGCTTGCACTTAAGCTGATTAGGCCACAATTACAACAATGCGTAAATCAAGCATGAAAAATGACTAAATAATATGGTGCAGTCAACAAATCAAGTTTAAAATCCTAGGCTTTATTTGTAGAAAATACCGGTTTAAAATAACGCGACAATCACCGCTTGAAAAAGTTAAAGTAATGTGGAAAACTTTGGCTTTCAATCGTATAGCTTATTTTCTAACAGACTTAGTATGTGTCATGACTTACCGCTTATTCGGAAAAAACTTGCATGTCGGATTAGCAGGTTGTCCCTTAGTTACAATCTAGTTCCCAGATCCATGATTTTAGACAAACATTAATGTATATTCTAAATGCATATCTTATGTGTGTTGGTGTGGTGCACTACCAAATGTAAAACAACTACGACTGGCATCTATCACTTCGAGGTGATAAAGTGCAATACACTTTAAAGACGCATGAGAATCTTTTTTTAAAACAACCATAGAGAGTTTAATTTATGAGTATATAAACTTTAGAGCCAGTAAATCAGTAAAGGGAATATCGTAATTTTCCCCGGAAATGCAGAGCAATTGCACTCTCTATGAATTAAGGTAAAATAAAAAAGGAGAAATGTTCGTAGCACGGATTGGAAAGAATTTGTTTGCAACTTCCGTATTTGCGACATGTTTGCTAAATACTCAGCGTGGTAGAATTTGCAAGCGTGATAAACTGAATAGCGGTTTCATGGGTGGCACGTAAAAATTGCTTTCGCCTAGAAAGCATTAACATAAAGTCTGACTCTGTAAACTGGGTGCAAGACACCAGATAACTGCATTGCATTTTACAGTATTATACGTCAGTTAATCCCATTAGCAAAGGTTTTTACAAATTTAATTGATGTTTAACAAGGCATCCATTTTTTGTGCTACAGACTTGGCCACTTCTATCCTTATGTTTATTTTATGTGCTCTGCATTATGCCTAATGGGTAAAAATCGACATTACCTAACCAATATAGTGCAAATGCTGTTGTGTTTCCTGGATAGCTTCATAAATCCGTCATTTATTCAATTGACACATATAATCA